TCTTTCAACCCATCAGCAGTCCTGATTAAGTATGTACTGATTCTGCAATTTATCTCCATTTTCAACACTTGGTATATCCCATAAAGACATTTAAAAAATAGGATGATCGGTTTTAGAAATAAAACAAATGAGTATAACAAACCACTTTGCTCTCTAACAAGTATAATGAATACATAATCAGTTGATAAAATAAACACCTGAAGCAAAAGACATTTAATGTCAGCCAAGAAATTTAATGTCAGCATAACCAAGAGAAATGTACACACAGAATGCTTGAAGCAAAGATGAAGTCTAAAAAAATGCCTGTAAAACTATTAACATAATATGTATGCCCAATATAGAATTCATGATCACTAATGTTTTATCCTGGAATGGCTGCTTACAAGCCATAGCTAGGAAATTTGTTCTCTGACACTATAAAGAGAAAATTCTGACTCTTCCCTAATAGGAATATGCCTTAACTATCTAAATCTCTACATCACCCAAGAAGGAAATAGCTTTAGTCCATCCACACCACTTCTAGATATGAAGATAAACAGCACTGAACAATTATCCTATCTTAAATCTTAAAACAGACATATTTTAAATAGCAGCAGTTTGTAGAATATCCTCGCCTGCTAACCCACTGTACACATGGGTGTACAACAATTCCAAAGGAAGATATTGTCCTTTAAAAATGGTTTCCATTTATCTTCTTTAACAACTGCAAGGGACATTAAAAACCACACACACACACACACACACACACACACACAGTAAAATCAATATGGTTCCTGCCATCTAAATCTTAACCAGGCCCTGGCCAATTTGCTCAGTGGATAGAGCATAGGGTTGCAGGCTCCATCCCCAATAGAGGGAGTGCAGGAGGCAGCCAATCAATGATTCTCTCTCATCACTGATGTTTCTCTCTCTCTCTTCCTCTCCCTTCCTCTCCCTTTTTCTTTGAAATAAAAATATATTTTAAAAAAGAATAATAAAAATAAAATAAATAAATCTTAACCAGGATACTAGTGTACTTAATTTGAATGGCCAAGTATCTCTTTGTGTTCTGATACTGAAAATTACCAAAGCATCTCTTTGTAAACATCACCAATAAATGGCACTACTTACAGCTGTTCAAACCAGAAACCTGAGTACAACTGCCACATTTAGCAAACAAAAATGAACCACACCTAAATTTGAATTTCAGATAAATTACAAAAAAAATGTTTCAGTATAAATGTGTCAAATATTGAACAGGATATACTTCTTCTAGAAGATTATCCACTGTTCATCTGACAGCTCTAGCTGGGATTCTTCCTGTATTACCTTCTACATAACCCACCACACCAAGGCCTGTCAATGCTACCTCCTAAAAATATAAAAAATATATCCACGTCTCCATTGCTTCTACCACCACCTAAATCTAAGCCACCAATTGAAGAATCTGCCAGTCTCTGCTTCTCCTCGGTAGAAACATCACTTACTCTAAATGCACCAGCATCAACGTAACAGAAAAAGAAATAAACGCTAATTTCAAGTTTCTCCTTTTCTGGGGTCACGATCTGGTAGCAGTAGAAATCTAAAATCTCCGAAGCATCAGGAGAAAGGCCAATGAGCACATAACTCTGAAGTGCTGAGGCCTTTCCTGAAACTGCCCCGAGGAAAGTAACAGTTCTCTTGAATATATGCCTGAGCCAGTGACCCATATCAATCATTCAACAAATTGGTGTTTATTGATACCTAAAGGTTGAGCCATGAAAAAATCTGTGCAAAAATAGTAAACTTGGGGCTGAACAAAGTTGATTGAAATATTCTTTTTTTAAAATATATATTTTATTGTTTTTTTTACAGAGGGGAAGGGAAAGGGACAGAGAGTCAGAATTATCAGTGAGAGAGAAACATTGATCAGCTGCCTCCTGCACACTCCCCACTGGGGATGTGCCCGCAACCAAGATACATGCCCCTGATCGGAAACAAACCTGAGACCCTTCAGTCTGCAGGCTGAAGCTCTATCCACTGAGACAAACTGGTTAGGATGGTTGAAATATTCTTGTCTTTAGGCAGAATTCTAAGATTTATAAAGAGATTGCTTGATTCTAGCCCACTTCTGATTGTGAGACAGATTCCTATCATTCAAACTGATATTCTACGACAGCATCCTGGTTCAAGCCTACCCATCCCAAAGTTGCAAAGCCATGGGGCAGAGAGCATTAAAGAATTAGGGTAGTCCTAGCTCATTTTGCCCAGTGTATATAGTGTCGCCCTGCGGACTGAAGGGTCTTAGATTTGATTCTGGCAAGGGTACATGCCCAGATTGCAGACTCAATCCCCAGTAGGGGGTATGCAGGAGGCAGCTAATCAATGATTCTCTTTCATCATTGATGTTTCCGTCCCTCTCTTCTTCTCCCTTCCTCTATGGAATCAATAATATATATTGATACACCAGTAATCTGAAAAAGTCGGTGGCAGGTATTTTATATTTATTTGAAGCCTACTTGCTGACTGCCCTAATTCTTTATTTATACACACACACACACACACACACACACACACACACACACACACGGTGTGGCCAGATTATTATGATCTCTGAATGCATAATAATCTGGCAACTGTGTGTGTGTGTGTGTGTGTGTGTGTTGTGTGTGTGTGTTGTGTGTGTGTGTTGTGTGTGTGTGTTGTGTGTGTGTGTGTGTGTGTGTGTGTATATATATGTGTGAGTAGGCCTCGTGCATGAATTCATGCATGGGCCTGGCCAGAGGGAGGGGACATGGACGGTTGGCCGCCCTGCCTGCTGGTCAAACTCCTGGTCAAGGGGACATATTAGCCTTTTATTATATAGGATATATACTGAATGGCCAGATTATTATGCATTCAGAGATCATGATAATCTGGCCACTCAGTGTGTGTGTGTGGTATGTGTGTGTGTGTGTGTGTGTGTGTGTGTGTGTGTATATATCAATCAGGGCAGTCAGCAAGTAGGCTTCAAATAAATATAAAATACCTGGCACCGACTTTTTCAGATTACTGGTACTCAGGAACAGTTGCTGCCTTCTGCCTGATTAATAAATGTTTTGTTTGTGAGAGCTAGTTCTATTGGGTCCTGCTTGCCTGTCACATCTGATCAATGAATCCTGACAAAGCCGACTATACACTGACATGTAAGTGAGACGTTGCAGAGCTGTACAAGTTAACCAAATACTAGTCAAATTACTGCCACGGAAATACCTGGCAGATCTAAAGAAAACAGGTTTTCCTGTATATCCACCAAGCAATGGAATTGTTATAAATGACTCTTGAATCATAGAACATGAAGGCAATTCAAAGTGTTTCCAAGTTCTTACAATGTGAATTTGAACGTTCATGTGTTTAACACAGAATGTCCTACAACAGTGGTCGGCAAACTCATTAGTCAACAGAGCCAAATAAAACAGTACAGCAATTGAAATTTCTTTTGAGAGCCAAAATTCTTTAAAACTTCTTCTAATGCTACTTCTTCAAAATAGACTCGCCCAGGCCTTGGTATTTTGTGGAAGAGCCACACACAAGGGGCCAAAGAGCCACATGTGGCTCGAGAGCTGCAGTTTGCCAACCATGATCCTACAATATAGAACAAACTCTATTCAAGCTCCTTCCACGTGAAACAAGCATTACAAGTGGAGGCAGAAGAACCTCTGCAGGTGTGAGTACTTTACGGCCATTATGTCGGAATAAGCAAGACATTCTGCCGAAAAAACCCAATCATACTGCCGAGATGTTATTGGGAGCCATGACGATGTTTGGTATATCTTTATCCCCTCCTCTACACTAGGGAGACAAAACTTCAAACTACAGATATACTGGCCAGACCAACAGTAGAGCCTGGAAAGGAATATGAGCGTTTGGACCAAACAGGCCCAGGCAGCATGTCACACAGGCGCGGATGCTGCACGCTCACACAAGCCTGAGAGCCCACACTTGCATTTGCATGGAGAAGCTGCTTTGTTGATGTCCCAAATGAGGACACAACCTGACAGGTGAGCTCCCACGACTCACATAATATATGTAAGATCATTCAGCCCCACTTCCTACTGCCCCTAGGGACTCCAAGGCCCCAGGATCAGCCAGCTGTTTCTGGAGCCATCAATGCACTGGGAGGTATACTTTGGGGCAGAAGTGAGCTTTCTCATTAGACAGTTCCCCTGGAGACTGAGGATCTGGAACTCTGAGAGGGCACTGCCCTGAGGCTATTTTAGCTCCTCCTGGGACCTCAAGTCCCTCCCTGGTGCAGAGGGGACTGCAATGCTCCCCACCCCCACCCCCAACCCCCACCCCCACCCAGCATTTTGAGTGCAAAGCTTCCTCCTATGGTAAGGCTCACTGGTTAGGAGAAGGCATGTGGGGGTGGGCCCCTGGCTGTTCTCAGAATGCGGCCTTGTTTGGGGCCCTCCTCCCGGCCCAGCGGGGCATGGGCTTCACCAAGTCTGAACAAGTGGAGGCTGGCAGCGAAAAGGCTGTGCAGGGCTCCCCACCACCCTGGTGCAGCCTCGGGGTCACCGAGTCGCGAGTGGCCCGGCTGGAACCCCGTGAAGCCCAGGCAGGGCTGCGACTTCTCGCCGGCTACCTGGGGGCAGGGGAGGGAGGGGTGACAGTGTGGGGGTGTGCAGTGAGAACGTGGGGTGCCCGCCGGGCTCGCTCTCACCCCCCTGCTACCCTCCCCCGCTTCCCGGGGACGCCAAGAGCTGGTGCACCGCGGCGGCCCCGGCGCTCAGGTGCCCGGCGCCCGCGAGGAGCCCGCCCCGCGCCCGCGGCCTCTTCCGGGTGAGCCGGGCCGCGCCGCCGCCGGGCTCCCGGCCGGGCTCCCGGGGGCTCCGGGCCGGCCTGGCTCCGGCCCCCGCGGCCTGAGCCGCAGCCGGCCGGGCCTCTGTCCCCGCTCCGGGCTTGGCCGCGGCCCGCTCCGGGGCGCCGAGGTGCTCGCGGCCGCGGCCGGGCCCCGCGCTCCCCGCCCGCAGCCCCTCCGGCCGCCGGCCCGCGCTCACCGCTCCCTGGAGTAGAGCTGCAGCTGCTGCTCCCGCCGCTTCTTCCGGATGAACGCCATGGAGGGGGCGCGGGACACCCGCCCGCCGCGCAGGAGCCGGTCTGGAGCCCCGCCGCCGCCGCCGGGAGACAGCGCGCCGCCCGCCCGCCGGCTTCCGCGTGGAGCCGCTGGGCGGCCCGGAGGCCACGCCGCGCCCGGCCCGGCCCGCAGCGTCCGCCGCGCTCAGCGCCGCATCCCCGCGTGGGGACTCGGGCGCCGGGACTCAGGCGGAGGGGGGCGCGCGGGGCCCCGGCGCTGCCCCGAGGTCACCGGGACCTGCCTCCCCGCCGGTGCCCGGCTCCGCGCTGAGCTGAGCCTTCCCCCGCGCGCGCGCGGGCTCCGAGGCCTGCCCTTAAGCGATCCCACTTGGTTGGCCGCAGGGCCCTCGGCCACCTGGTAATCCAAGGACTAATTGGTGGCAAGACTTCTCTTTCTCTCTAACAAGTCGATCGAGCTATCCCTCCTCCCACAGCAAGCAACTCACCCATTCGAGCTGTTCCTTTGAACGTGTGTTAGTACATTCACAGGCATGTGCAACGCTCACTGTCATGTGGGGACAGTTTTTATTACCCCTCCCAACTAATATCCTTCATACCCTTCAGGCATCACCAAGTGCCTCTCCCCCCACTCCAGCAAATACTCCTCTGCTTTCTGTCCATGCGTTTGCCTCGTCTGGACATTGCACATGCATGTAATCAATCAAGACAATAGGTAAGCCTTTCTTTGCCTGGCTTCTTTCATGGAGCATCATCTTTCCAGACTTAGCCGTACATCAGTACTTCACCCTATTTTTATTGCTGCTGCTGAGTATCCTGCTGTATGGATATTAAAAAAAAAGCATTCACTAAAAATGTTGGGTGTTTCTACTTTGGGCTATAATGAATTGAATAATGCGGCTATGTACCAGTGTGTATGGACATGTGTGTTCATTTCTGTTGACCACACACCTAGGAGTGGGATTTCTGGGTCACATGGTAACTGTCTAAAACAGTGGTCGGCAAACTCAGCAGAGCCAAATATCAACAGTACAACAACTGAAATTTCTTTTGAGAGTCACATTTTTAAAATTTAAACTTCTTCTAACGCCACTTCTTCAACATAGACTGGCCCAGGCTGTGGTATTTTGTGGAAGAGCCACACTCAAGGGGCCAAAGAGCCGCGTGTAGCTCTCATGAGACGCAGTTTGCCGACCCCGGGACTAAACATTTGGAAAAACAATTATTCTCCAAAGTGGCCACACCATTTTACAATTATTCTCCAAAGTGGCCACACCATTTTCCACCAGCTGTGTATAAGGTTCCAGGTTCTTCACATCCTCGCTAACACTTGTTAATTATAGTTATCCTAGTGGGTGTGAGTGGTGTTTCCCTGTGGTTATAACCTGAGTGTCATCCCAGGACTGTTTACCTTTGAGGGATCCTTTAATAATGAACATTTAAATTGTGTAATAGCTGACACATCTCTAATATTGCTTCAGAGACCAGGTTCTACAGGGTTTGGTTTTTTAAAAGCTTTTAAGGCAAATATGTATTTGAGCTCTCTAGTATGGGAAAACGGGGGAGCCAAGAATAAAAGTTGGGGCTGGGTCTTACTGAACTTGGAAAAATGATAAGCATAATAGTGAGTGCCCATTAACATTTTCTGGAATGAATGAAGGTGCATGGGTACCCCGTGACTTGGATTGAGTCTCTTCCATGGGATCAGGTGCTGCACAGAACCTTCAACTGTAAACATGTTACCGGTGGGATGCCCTCTGTGTCCCTACATGTTCCTGGTGGAAGTGAGATTCTTGGGGTGCCATGGGAACAAGAATTTCCTGAGGCCCCCATGGGAGGGTGTGGTGTCATGGAAAGCTTGATTGATGATGTGAAATTAAGGGAGTTCCCCTTCAAGGTCCAATCTCCCTCCATTCCACCATGGAAAAAGTCCAACCGTATCTTGAGCAGATTGAGATCAAAGCCTCTGCCCAGAGCCTTCTCTCCACATTAAAGCTCAGTCCAGCCCAGCATCTGGCCAGCTTAGCTTGTGTTCCCAGCTGCAGTCCGTTGTGTGTGGGGTCCACATGGGCCACCTGACTATGAAGGAAGTAAGGGCTAGTGTGGGTCACAGAGCCAGTGAGAAACAGGAGCAGGAGAGAGAGAACTCCTTTGTCTTGGGATTATAACCAGGAGCTTAACCAATTAACATCTTAGGATTTCATGCTTGCAGTGGCTCTGCCCCTCTAGCCAGGTTAGACTGACAGACAAGCATCTTTCCTACATGACCCCAACTTCACTGCATATACACTCACTCCCTCTTCCTCGTCCCAACAATCCAGGAGCAGGGAAGGGAGGGGTCTGAAGCTGCAGCTTCTTCGTGAAGCCACCCAGGTGATCCTGCTTACAATGTCCCACCCTCCCTTTGCTCTCTTCCTGTTATCAATATCAACCAATTAGTTACAACAGTGATAGAAAGATGTGAGAGACAGTAGCCCAATGCTCCCATAGGAAATTGTGACCTAATCAGATAGCTGAGACAAATGCATGAGCAGGTACATGATAAAATAAGAATAAAACTTGCTAAGAAGTACAGCAATAACTTCCTACATGAGCAGTACTATAATACAGTGTTTCCCAAACTTTTGACATATGTGTACTCCTTCTATAATTTTTGTAACGCTGAGTACCCCTCATACTCATGAGAACGTAGAATTAGGTGCAGCTAAGCACAGTGCAGTGCATATATATATCCCCACCAAACTCCGGTGCAGCGCGTACCCCCACCAAACTCTTCCCCGTACCCCTGTGGGTATGTCCTACCACACTTTGGGAAACACTGCATTAGGTGCTATTAGTTCAGAAGAGAGAAATCACTTTGGCTGGAATAGGGAAGGTGGGAAAACACCATGCAAGTTTTTCCTTTGAGTTAAAGGATGAGCCCTAACTGGTTTGGCTCAGTGGCTAGAGCATTGGCCTGCGGACTGAAAGGTCCCAGGTTCAATTCCGGTCAAGGGCATGTACCTTGGTTGCAGGCACATCCCCAGTAGGGGGCATGCAGGAGGCAGCTGAGATGTTTCTCATCTATGTTTCTAACTATCCCTCTCCCTTCCTATGTAAAAAAAAAAAAAAAATCAATAAAATATATTTAAAAACAAACAAACAAACATTAAAGGCTGATGTGATCCTGGTAGGTGGCAAGTGACAAAGATCCTTCCTGGACCACATTCTAGCCAGGACTCTTTGAGCCCTCTCCTCAAGTAAGCCTCTACCTGGCCCTATAAAACCACAGATTCTCTCAAATGATTTCGTCCCTTCCCCTACCCTCACATTGAAAGACTTAGCTAACAGAGTTTCTAAGAGCGCAAGGCCTCATCCTTAGGATGACCCTAGCCCACCTTAAAGTTCCTGTCTGAGGAAGCTCAAGGCTGCCCCCCAAATGCACTGTTTGTTCTAACCACCACCAGACACAGGCCCCTGACTTCTGCTTCTTAGAGCATTTACTAAAAGGGGCTTGTGCGTTCTTTCTCTGTGTCTTTGAGATGTATATGTGTCTCCTGCAACTCAGGAGTTACACATACAAGCCTTTCCCATGGGCTGGAACGCCATTCCTTTGGAATGTAATCATGAGGCTTCTGTCTTCCAGTCACAGGAGGAAGATAACTGCCAATTAGGAGATACCGACACAGCATTTGCTGTGATCAGGCCTTTGTCACTTTTCACTTCCTGGCTTTGTCTTTGACAGAGAGGGGGATGAACTGGCCCAGAAGGATTTTCTCCAAGAGTTCAGACAATAGATGCTTCTGCTGTCACAGAGTCTGTGTTCACGGAGAATTAAGAGAAAACTGAGGTGGTAACTTTCTCATCCTCCCACCACCAAATCATCCAGCCTACTGGCATCTGTTCCCTTGCCTTCATTTCTGCGATTTTGAGGTATAATCGCTCCTATCGGAGGCCAATTTCTTACTCAGAAACTTAGCCTTTGTGATTATCCATTTTCTCTTCTCTTTTCTTGCTTTGTCTATTTCTCCCTTAATATCAAATCATTTCCTTCTGAATATATAGTTTCCAAAATATAGGTCCTTTATCCCACATCTTCCTCCAGTTCCCATTCTTAGCAAAACGTCTTAAAACAGATGCCTACACCTGCTGTCTCCATTTTCTCACCTTGCGTTCTTTTCAATCCATTCCAATGGTACTTCTGTTTCCACCATGTCACTGCAAAGGTTCTTATCAAATCACAACATCGATTAGTCCATTGATCACTTTCCTAGCTTAAATTTTTCTGAACTCTCAGCAGAATTCAGCATAGTTGACCACAGCAATCAACATAGCTCCTTGTTGGAAAACTTTCTCCCCCAATTACTTCTCAAGTCCCATTGTTTCTTTTAAATCACCATGCATTTTTCTCTTTCTCTGTCTCCTTGCTTGGTTTCTCCCCTGCTTAACTTTTTCATGTTGATTCTCTGGGCTTGCAGGTCATTCCACCCAGTGTCATTGTTATCAGTGGAGTATCCTCTGTGTCCCATCTGTTACCCATGGACATGGAGTTCTTGCGATGTTGCAAGGAAAAGAATTTCCTGAGACTCAAACGGGAGGACGAGTGATCTCTTATTTCCTTGGAATTAACCCCCCAGGTTTGCGATGTCGCGTTTCCCTCTGTCCCACCATGGGAAAGTCCAATCTCGTCTTCATTCGGGCAAGAATGAAGGCCATCCCCCAGAGTCTCTGCTCCGTTATGAAAGCATCCTCCGGTCCAGCATGCTGGGTGTGGAGTCTGCATGGCCTAGGGCCACGCGGCTGCTTAAGGACACACGACTATGACAAGAAGACAAGTGAGTGCAGGTCATGGAGCAAGAGTGAAGCAAGAGAAAGGGAACTCTTTAGGGATTACTACCAGGAGCTGAAACAATTAACGCTTCAAGATTTCACATGCCTGCAGTATCTCTACCCCCTGGCCAGTCCACTGTTTCCCAGGCTAGACTGACAGACAAGCACCTTCCTAACATCATCCCAACTTCACTGCACATCTGTCCGTCTCCCTCT